ACATGGTTAGGACGTTCCATATTCATCGTCAAATGATTGCAATGTTCACAGTCCTCTGTTGGACCGTTTGTCCAGGGTCCAAGTGATGACGTTTTATCAATCAACCTATTACAAGAATTAGCAAACTACATTTATAAACCACTTAGCACAGTTTTTAATGTTTAGCATAATTTTTTGGTAAGATTCAATTTTTTGTTAGGAGGAAATATTAAATCTCAATATGTAGTAATAGTACAAGATATCTGTCAACACGGTGTTTTCGTTACAGGTCGTAAGTACCTATGAAAATACATGAGCAAAATACAAATACTTAAAATAGGCCATATAAAAGAGCAAAATCTAATTAAATGGTTTAAGGTCCACCGGTGATCCTACCGTCGTCTGGTGGATGGTTTGTTTTTATGCCTATGGATTAATTTATCAACCATACAACTCAATTTTTCAAGCTTTCGTAACTCTTGGCCCCAGCTATGTGTTTTATGGTAAGGAGGTCTTGTTCACAATCGGTGTGAGAGATGCACACAAGAGGGAGAGATGATAATCTATGAGCGAAACTATTGTAGGCAGCCATTTTCTGGTTGTGGGGTTTGTGGGTTTTGAAATAAATGGTCTGGTCATGACCACGCATCTACCCGTGCCGCTGTGTCCTGTACTAGCTAGTTGTAAATATTTGTGTTATGTCCTGTGTTTTCGTCTTTTATGTTTTTTGTGTCGTGTTTTTGTGTTCACCGACAACCTCAACTCGAGACATTGAAGAAGCCTGATGATGTGATTCGTTCTGTGCAAAAAAAATTCTTATTAAAAGCCTACTATTTATTGATCATCTGTTTATTAATTTTACGCCGAAATATTTATTGTAACGTCATCAAACGTGTGATGGGAAAACTACTTATTTTATAGAAATATAAATTTAGAAAATATTTGCCAAAATGTGTATATTTTATGTTGGTACACTAACAAAATTATTATAACTAAATGTCTATAAAAAGAAATGCTAATTTAAGAGGAAACATACTTTAAAAGCTCTCTTAAGAGGACTTTAAAAGGATTAAATTACATCAGAGCATCCTTTGATATTACTTTATCAAAGCAGCAGAGTCCTGTAATGTAAACCCCAGCTTTAGCACACATAACTTTCTATGTTAATGTAAAGTACCACTTAATTTAAAACCCATTTTTAACTGTAGTGCTGTTTTTCAGCTTATATATCAACTTATAAATATATAGAATACAAAACTGATCGATTGCTCATAAATTTAGCAATAACCTTACCCTAGTAATGGAAAGAGAAAAATAAGTTTCTACCTTTATAAATGTTTAAATTGTTGTTGTTATAAAGTTTTTTAATACAAAAAAACTAATTTTGTTTAATTTCTGTAACCATCCTAAGTTCACAAATCAACAACAATGTAGGATAAGAATAATCCAGTAGCCAAGATAAATGAGTTACGAATGTAATAAATAAATATTAGTATGCAATCAATAAATAATCCCACAATTGATAATCAAAATAAATGGACGAAGTAAAGGAATTATTTAACATCATAGCTTTAACAACCAGGGTGACCTTTCATGAAAAGACTAGTAAAGCAAGAGCCAAAGACAATGACAGCCAAACAATTAATTAGTGACAAAATGTTTGCTGAAACAGATCAAAGCCGAGCAACACGATACTAATTTAAACACAATGACGTAATGGAAATAGTTAGATACCAGTCGGCTGAAAATTAACTTCCATCAACTTATTATTGATAAATGTTTTTCTATAATAAAACCAATAGGGTTTAATACATTTTACGAATGTAAATATACAATTTGTTTGCCTTGGTATTCATATAAATATTATGAAATACAAGACATTTTAAATGAGGTCGTCAATGATTCTAGGTTGAAGAAAATGTCTGTTAAAATATACTTAATATTTTACGTCGATCCAGAAATGAAAAAATTTATGACAAAACACAAAATAACTACCTACTGAAGATTACTCCATAACAAGTTCATCTATTAACATACTTTCTTTAATTTGCGTTAAATTGTGATTTGTCACACATAATAAACACATCAGTTACTGAGTTGTGTTTGTTTTAACTATAGTAGCATACATTACGGATATTTAAGGGAGTTGGGTACTGATTGAACTTGGATATGAAGAGTGTTTTGAGCTGCAAAGCCTGTTACGTATGGTAATTGTCAGTGATGAATATGCAGGGTGTCCGGTACGTTGCCAACCTCCCGCCACAATTTGAATAATAGGTTTCATCCCCTATTATAATAGATCAAGGTATCTGAAGATACAAAGGCCTGTCCTCTTCTTTGTTCTCTTATTCTTTTTTAATAAGTATATAAACTGTATAAATAAATAACGGATAATATTACGTATTGTATTAAACATTACAGGTTTTTCCAAGCCGATAAAAGTGTCCCTTGTGACCTTACTATTAGGATTCACTTAACTTCTATCTATAAATCAATGTTGCAAATTGTATCATATTTGAAAGAGTTAGTAAAATCCATCCCCCCTTGTTTGACGATTTGATAGTTAATGACAGTAAATAGATTAATACGGCTTATACACCAATCAACTGTACTCATATCTGCAATATGATGTGTGCACGAAATAATAGTTTTGGATCCCGTAATAATAGTGGGAATCAAAAATTTTTAGGCTTGGTGACGGTAATTAATAAGAATGGCTTTAACTTGTCTCACCCAAGACAATGAGACTTTAAATCTAAGATGTTTCATCTAGTATATTTATGAAAACACTGTCAGAGTACCCGTCCTTCGTACGGGATTGGCATATCAGTATAAAATGCTTAGTACAGTTAACTCAAGCGTTGCGTTTGCAATGAGAGAGGACACAGTATGATAAAATTTACTTCTATAAATTTACGGTATACTATAGTATTACACATCTACCATAGCCATGATGATCTACCACTTCACCCAAACAATAGAAACAAATAAATTTTTTACACTCACAAAATATCACAAATTATTCGTGAAATTAAAAGCATAAACATAACTGTAAACAGTCAGTTCTCATTGCGTATCACAGGTTTTTGTTGCTGCTTAGTAAATTAGCTGTTTTCATAAATGCAAAAAATAGTGCTGCACCCTTTTGGTAAATCTTATAACTTTTAATGCTTTTGCATATCATAGAACCAACCTTTTTAGTTGAAACAGCTGACTATTTAAATATGAGTACTCATAAGTTTAACATGGGAAACTCTAGAGCCACTGGGGCGGAGACCGAAAGGAATTTTTAAGATAAGAATATGCCTATATGTTAATCGGGAATGTGAGCTATCATCATACCAAATTTCAGCCCAATCCACCCAGTAATTTATGCGTGATTGGCCTCCAAACAAACAAACAAACACACAAACTTTCACATTTATAATATTAGTAAGATAAAATTGCAAACTATCTCAACGTTTTTGGAAACAATAAAACATTGAAGGCACAGTGTGTATGTTGTAGATGTTGGCTTCGTGTGGTCGTGGTTGTGGTCGGTCGGCTAAGTGTCCACTGTGGTCGTCTCACTGCGGCCAAGGCTCTTCAGCCTGTCGTCGCACAATGGCCATCGGCTTTATTCACCTGCAGTAATGGGCCATTGTTGCCTCGGTCCCCAGTAATGGCTTCCGTTTTCCTTTAAAAGCTCACAACTCTTCAAATGGCTTCCTCGATCGGCAGTTTTCGATAGTAAAGCTTCCAAAAGTCGTTGATTTGTTGGAGGAGAGGTCTGAAATTACTTTCCTCAGACTTTCTTTAATATAACCTTACAATGTTTATCTTGCTTGGTTATTGGAAATAAAGTGAATAAATAATATATTCTCTAAAACATTTAACATATAGACACATTTACAATGTATTAGGACAATTATAATTATTATACTAGCGTTGAATCCCCTTTATGGGAGCAAAACTTTAAAACAATCATGCTTTTGTTTACGGCCGTTCTTTCTTATGATACAATATGTATTATACGAGAATCGATGTACGAAAATTACACTAATCTTACTTTAAGTTCAACCTAGATCACAGAAAATCGTGTTTTGTATTTCAGGCTTTAAATTAGGAATATTGGCTTCATAAAATGTGATATCCCTTTCACGCTGGTTGTGTCCATAATTTCTTAATTTTTGTACCAAATTAAAGCTTGTATATATAGACACGTTCAGCTGCGTTATTGCGAGTATAATTCCGGATCAAAGTTCGTATATTATGAACAAATATTCAAATACGTTTTTGAACCAGCAACTTTAATTTTAAAATAGTTTCTTCCTTTAAATAGTTCAGTGTTTAGGAATTACTATATTTAAACTGCTACTATCCAAGTATTTATCTTTTTAGTTGAAAAAAAAAAAAATTTACACCACATTGAGAAATGTCACGAACCACTTTAACAGAGCTGCAAATCAAACTCAGAAAACACTTTGATTAGTTTTTGCAACAGTTATATCTAACTTCACTGCCAATATAGTGTGTTCTGGTTGAGAGGGAAGGGGTATAAAGTGCGAAGGTAGAATTAACTGGACAGGGGAATGTTGGACATCAATAACGCCGGCCAGGTATGCGACTTGGTAATTTAACATTCCCGTGGCCCACTGACCACTGTCCACTGGTCAGTCCTGCTGGCCACAGTGCAGTGCATACCGTAGACAAATCTGCATCTGTCGACCAACTCAGTCGTACCTCTAGACAGGTTGTATATTAATAAACTTGACAAAATCAATAGTTAACTCAATATATTAACATCATAAACCTACCCAATTTAAGAAAATTTGAAGGTGTTATCGTATTTAATAGTGACAATTTAAGTCCTAAATCTACTTGGAAGGATATATTTTAGTACGCATCAACAGAGATACGTGTGTTGTATCCTGGGGAAATAGAAATATATGTAGCACTCATAAAACATTTGATTGCTGGGTTCTTGTAGTCTACTTTTTAGCTAAACTTCTGCTATATTGTAATTTGTACTCCTTTTACAGGTAACGGAGCCAACTCGACGACGTTTGACCTGTTCGAGTCCGAGAGTGGACAAGATCTCACCCTCTCGCCCCAGACATTCACAAGCTCCACGGAGGCGTTCCTCAACGACAACTCCAACAGCTTGGGAGTTCCTGGGGCCGACACGGACACGGGTAAGTATCATCATTTTATCACTACAATGATTTTGCTGGTGACTAAGATCAGCTAGTATCATTACTGATAAACCTACCGATCTAGAACAGCTGTATGTAGAGTCAACTGCCAACTATTAACCAATGAATTATATCAATTATGGGGACGCCACTATGTGCGTATTTCGAAATATGAGTGAAGGATGAGTGTAGGATGAGTGGTGCGATCTTCTAATCTTGTTAGTTACTAAGACCGACATGTTCCTTAGACACAGCTGTCAATGACAGACAATGGCAACTAAGGGACCTATAGTTTATAGTGGAATCTGAACCACATTTTCCCTTGTAATTAACTAATTGGTCTAATTACCAGGATAGTACTGCGGATAGTCATAGTACTCACTGGTGCGGTCGTTAAGCCACACCAGGGAGCATCACATCCACAGTGCGTGCCTATAAATATCCACAATTCGAATAATAAATAACCATATAATAACCCAGGGGATGATTAATTGAATACAAGGTAGAAAATCATAAAATACTAAAATATTTTTTTATATTTAATGCACTGCGTCTTTAAACATTATTCTATAAGGGCTACTACTATCCAGCGTTTTTAATATTTTGCCAAAACATCATAAAAATATTAGGATTATGATGTTAACGCTGTAACGCTGTAATAAGACTCTAAAATTTAAATGTTTTCCACTAAGCAGCACAGGGCTAACTGGATAATAAGATGACACTGAGAATTTAATAAAGGAAAACTCCGGAAAGGCTATATCTATGATTAAATGTAGAGACAAAAATAAATCAGTGTAATGGCGCAACATCAGAGAGGAGATAAAATAAGCGCAGTCATTTCTCTTTGTATACTGAGATTACAGAGAAGTGAAGTACAGAGAAAGTGGAAAAAGCGCGATCTGTTTAGTCAACTAGCAAGTCGATATCGAGTATCGGTTAGTAGTTAGCATGTATGTAAAAAAATAAACAAATACTGTGCTTTTCGAAAGCCTTTCTGTGCTAATAATATGAAAACTTCACTGACTAAAAGCGTAAAACGTAAAATATATGGTAATAGTATTCGTTCTTTAATTTCATTATCTTCCTCGAAAAGGCTAAACCCTAAATGTATATTGTCTAGCATAAGAGTAATGCAAACACGTTTATTCTATATTTAGGGTCACAAACTTTTGTGTTAAACACTCTTTTATATATTACTAGATGTCGCCCAAAAATATATATTGAAACTCGACCAAAAATATGCACGAACAATTGAACAGACCGGTATGGATCATAAACATATACAAATGACGTTTTTGGCCCGAAAGCAAACAAAACCATATGTGAATTAATTCTATTAGCATAGGATTAGTTTAGGTTTCGTACCAAAAACGTCTTTTGTTTATGTTTATGATCCAGGTATCCGTTCTATTCAAGTATTCGTCAATATATCTTTTCATAATTCTCTATTTTTATCCCACGCTGTAAATAAAAAACCATGTGATTGGAATTTCTTCCATTTGTTTAGATTTTCTATTTATATTTCGTTGTTATTTCGTCACCAGCATGGCAACCCAAGGCTAATCTAATGTTTTTTTTATTTGTAATTCATTCTTTGTGCCTTTTTAGTATAATTGTATTTATAAAGGGATTCTGCACATCTAAAGGAAATATATTTCTAACAGTATGCGTATATGTTCCCTTCGATGCACACGGGCTGACATAAAATTTTTAAAAAAATACATGCTTGCCTATTAATGTATAGGATTACACACTTAAGAAATAAAATGTTTGCAATGATGGTCCAAGGGTATGAAATCATTTAAATTAGTGGCGCTCAAAGATTTCTAAAGCAGCCAAAAGCAATTTTCCATGGACATCACGGGAGAGCTGATCAAACACTTGTCCCGATGTGGTTTGAATGGTAAAGATTCTCTCCGACAAATATTCCAGGGAGGTCCGTTCTTGATGCCTCGCCTAACATCTCTGCCTTTATTGTAAGCCATTTTAGTAAAGGAATTGAAAACTCACGTGTCCTTGACGTGTTCATAAATAATGTTCATTATAGCGAATTTTCTTATATGTAATGACTGGTACCGTAGACCCGGGATCAAAATACTTTCACATTTTGATACCTGCAGAGGCTAAAACCAATATTAGTTCACATTTTTCCATACATGTACATATGTTCCACATATGTACTAATATGTATGGGGGAGTGTTTTTTGAAATGAATGTGTAAAGCTGGATAAACTTGATTGAGTTCGCGAACCAGCAAGATCGGGCAATGCGAACGCGATGTGGGTTCTTAAAGTTTAAAAAAATTAGGGTTAAACAATTTTCATACTTAAACCATGCGAATGCCCAATAAAAAAAAAACCTATTGAATTTCGCTTAGTCTGCAGGTCTCTCTATATATGTATTGTGTCCATATTATCTTTCAAAAGTTTTCACCTTAGCCCTAGCTATTATAAAAAACGGGTGTCAATTAAAACACTGTAAACCGTCTCTTCGTGTTATCCTGAAATGGTTCGTAATTTAATCAATCACGAAGACTTTTCCTTATTTAATTTTGTTCCGAGTCAAACCCGGTTTCAAGAAACTTTACAAATAAGTAGGAATGTTTTCGATCAGAGAGCAAATCAGAAGAGCGAGGAAATGATGACAGATCCGTCGTCGCATAACAATGACTTCAAGTTCACAGTTTAATTTGATGCCTTTAGTCGTGCAGACAATTTAATAATATTTACGATTGAAGAGATTACGGAGGAGAGGGGGGGGGGGGTTCACAACTGGCCCTGTTGCTAAGCAACGCTTGGTACATTGAATTACACCTTGCTTCAGTCACTCGGCTTGGGACGTATTACAGGCTAGAGCAATGATTGTAACCTGGATCACGTGCCGGGGCCGCCCAAGATGGCTCGTTACTCTTATACATTCAGCTCAATGGGTTTCAACTTTACCTCTCTGGTTGAAATACTTAAACAATTATTACAAAATACTTCACATTCACAATGTGTTACTGATGTTTTGATTCTTTGAATTGATAAATAAAATCATATTGCTGGTACACAAATGTTTTGACTGTGGCAACAGTGATTCACATGATCATATTAGTTTCTGGTACTATATTTATACTATTTTGCATCCTCTAGATTTTCATTCTCTATAAGCCTACTTATTATGCCAGTATTTATGATCTGTTTAGTATGAATACTATGTCCAGTCAAATCATTCCCTAATTGTAGTGTAAGTGTTTCGTATATTTTAAAATTAGATTTTAACCAAATAGAAAACACAGATTTTAAAGCTATAAAATGTACAGCTCTTTCGAGGCATTGTAGGAGGTCTAATACAAGCATTACAAGGGGTTGTGTTTCATTAACCCTATAGTGATAGCTCGATCTGATTTATTTGAGCAGTGTATTCTTGGAATTTGTATTTTTGCAGTTTTGTACAGTAGGACAATCAAATTAGACCATTTCGTGGCCAGACATTGTTTCTAGAACAGATTTGTAAAAATTTGAAGAATCCGCATATAGTATTACTTAAAAATATGTTCCCGGAAGCTTTAAAAGTAGTATATAATATATTGCCGATCGGCAGGCATTTTTTTACTCATTTCAACTATGTGTGCACAATTACAAGTATATACATTCAACATTTTGCTACATGATTTGAATTTTCAATGCTAGACTCGGCTAGCATCGGTCGTCGGGTTGAAAAACTAATGTTCTAGCTAATTAAATGTATTATCTGGTCAGCTGCAGCTCTAGTCAATACATTAATTCCAACCTCATTAAGAATGTATATCCGACTTGTATTTCTAAATACCGAATAATCCAAGATATCAACGACCGTTTAGGTGTTTGTTCCAAAAGCGTTGTTTATTTGTCAAGTTGAAGGATCCAGAATAAATCTAACGTTGATAGGGTGTTAGCGCTAAAAGGTGTTTTGACAGAATATCGTAATTCATTTCTCTTCCGTCGTAAATATCAATACCTGACGGGTTACCTTTAAATGTCTTGAAAAGAATTTAAAGAAGAAATCTACGTTACATCTATTACCAAAACTAAAGTTTAGTTGCAAGTTTTTTAAATGAGGTTGGTGGAAATTTAACAGCCTATGTCATTAGATAGTACGTTTGTGCATTTAATCGTAAGTTCTGTTATTCTCATTATGCTCATAGTCAGGGAAATCGCAGTAGACACGCTTCTTTACCCCTTTCATGTCTTAATTAATTATGAAACAAGCTGTGAGTCATTGAATTGATACACCACTTCTAGTGTAATCCTCTTAGCCGTAAAAGCAAGTCCGTTTTTTTCTTAGTTCAAGCTTACTAAGGAATTTAGAAAGGTTAAAATCACTTTTTAAATAAAAAACAAAATTCTGGAATAATTTTTCTTGTACAAGTCAAAATACGTCTAAAAATCCTTTTTTTACACTTAAACAGTAATAAAAGATGTTTAACGACTTATAACAAAGTTTAACTTATATGATGCAACGGAGAATTATAAAGCTAAATGTTTAGGCGTAAACTGTAAAGATCGGTTCACTAATAATTTGTTGTATAGGTTTTTGGTAACTCCTGTATATTTGTTTTTGGAACGGTCAGTAGTAATACAATTTTGCCGTAGGTCAAATTTTAAACTCTCACGAATAGTTCTACAAGCTTACATATAATAAACGACATGGTGAAGTTGCCTATTCCAATTAGCATTAGCTTTAAAGTGATACGTTTTATTATTTACATATTTAAATAAATTTGGGTGGAAAAGATAATTTGGAATAATTTACACATAAATTTCATACTTTAGATTTTATATTACACAATGGCCAGTTAAACTTGCAATGTAAGTTGTTCTTAAAGTCATACTTTCACATTCTATTCTGGTAAGATATAGTTCAGAACCTTTTCACTCATTACTTTTAGGCTAGTCCCAAGGGATATTTTCACTTAGAGTAGATTCTCAAATAATAATAATGTTTAAACACTTGACCATTGCCGAGATGAGAAC